TCAAGACCCAACATCCAAGGGAATCAGATTTGGAGGAGCTGGTCTTTGAAAGATTTGAAACCCTCCCTCCCCATTTTGCAGAAATGGAAGCGTGACATGAAAAGATTTGTTGGTAGGAGAATATAGCTCAGTAATTCTTGGCATTTCTTCGGGGGTTTTCATCTTCAAAGATATTTTGTGAATATTAGCGAATTAATCCTCAACAACTTCCCCGCGAGGTACCACAGAATGGAGCAAGAAACATTAACTTTGTTTGACAGATGGGGAAACTGAGGCATGGAGCTGTGAAGCAACTTGCCCCAGGGGAACAGAGGAAGCTAGTCTCAGGGATTAGAACACAGCAGTGCCTGCTGGCCAGCTCTGGGCTCAGACCCACTAGTCATGAGACAAACCCACTAATGTGGCATCGCTCTAAATAAAGGGCCAATTGGTTTAAATGGGCGTAGCTCCATTGAAGTTGATGGGGCTGCACCAGTTTATACTAGCTGAGAATCTGGCCATTTGCCTCAATAATAATCCCTAGCTGTTATTCAGCACTTTTCATCAGTAGGTCTCAAAGTACTTTATAAAGGAAGTCAATATCATTATTCCCTTTTTACAGATGGGGAAACTGAGGCAATGAGCAGGGTAGTGACTTGCCCAATGTCACCCAACAGGCTAATGGCAGAAACAGGGATACAAGCCAGGTCTCCTAGTGCTCTGTCCATTAGGCGACACTGCCTTAATACACCGTACTGTGCCTGAGTGCTGGAGACATCTCAGAACAACACAAGCTACATGCTGCTGTCCCTGGGCACAAGTAAAGAATGGAGCTTTGCCCTTCACTCTTGGTTCCCTGGCTTTGCTGGGCCTACATTTGGATTGTGTGCCAGATCCTTTGCTGATGTAAACCGAGGCAGCTCCACTGACTTCAGTGTAGCCACACCAATTTACACTAAGGAAGGACCTGGTCCTCTGAGCCAGATTCTTAACCATCTGTTCAACAAGTACATGGCAATAATGCACAGTTGTCATTTTTCTATTGTGCGACCTATAAAATGTGCCCCTCTTGTTATTTCTTGTGCAAAACAATATTGACAAAGGTCAGCCTAAAAAATTCCCTGACCAGAATAAAGCTACCTCTGTATTCTCTGTAATCACCCGCCCTGCTTAGACAAACGCCTAAGTAAATAGATGGTTCTTATATTACACCCTGAAGGTCAGTGGGTTGGGGCTCTGTTTAATCACAGAGCAAATTCCTACTCCCCCCCCCCCCCGACCCACTCCTGCTGCCTGGTCTCCCACATTTATTTGTAGTTTTTTTTGTGGCACTCATCACCATTCCCAGTTGTATCAGAGCAGCTCATGAGTGTTAGTGAATTACATCCCTCTGTGGTGGGGAGCTGTCAATGCCATTTTACTGGGGGGGGGGGGGGGGGGAAACTGAGGTAGGTAGTGAGATTAAATTATTTGCCCATGGCCCCACAGTGGCCGGGATGAAAACCACATTCTCCGTCCTGTTGCTCTAGCCGGGGGATCTTTAAGAAGCACTTTGCTCAATGCCACTAATGAATTCAGTATCTTGTTGCGAATTGGAGCCATAATTTATATAGCAGAGTGTAATTATCCCAAACAAAGGAGAGAAGAAAGATACTCTTGAAGGGTCATCTGCGGTTCAGGGATTATGGAATGAGATTGTTTCTTTTTTCCTCTTTAATGTACACATAATTTTAAAATACCACTACAGAGCAAAATACCATTGGAAGCTGCTTGATCCAGAACAATGCCAGCACCCAGACAGCTAACCCGAGTCGTTTCAACAAGGGAACGTAATCAGACAGGGAAGGTCAAGTGCAAGGTTACCATTTATTGTGTCTGTAAAGAATTGCTTTATCCCTGCCCACCAAACACTGTAACGGCACCAAAGCCTGTTGCAAAAGCCAGCATTACAATGTCCCTCTCTGTGGAGGGCAGATCTAGAAGAAACATTTTGGCCTGGCCTCTGCGTGCCCGGGACAATAAAGGATAGAGACGTGTTTTGTTTCTTGAGTGGTCAGGCTGAGCTCAGGCACCTATGACCTTTTATCGCTGGACAGAAAACATACTTGGTTTTTCTGGCATGGCTTCTCCCTTTCCCCTTTGGCATGTGCTACTGTTCTGCCTCAATATCTGCCAGCCATTCCTTTTGGTTTTGACCTTAGGATGACAATCACAAGTGCACCAGTGAAAATGTGAAAAGGGGAGGAAGGATCATCTGTTGATTACAACACGGGACTGGTTGTTACATTCTGTTCCTGGCTTGGCTACAGAACTTCCCCTCCTCCCAGCATGACCTTAGGCAAGCCACTTCATCTCGCTGTGCCTCAGTTTCCCCAGCTGTAAAATGGGATAATGATACTTCCCTGCCTCCAGGGATGCTGAAGCTAAATTCATTAATGCTTAGAAAGGGACAGATCCTCAGCTGGTGTAAAGTGTCATATCTTCATTGACTACAGTAGCAAAGCTATGATAATTTAAATTAGCTGAGTATCCCCCTTCTCCCATGCTTTGCAATCCTTGAAGGGACACTACAGAACTATGTTCTGAGAGGAAGAAAATATGCCATGCTTTGACCTTTTCCTCCCCAGCACAATGCCATAGGGCGTCTGACCAGCAGTTCTGGCAGCCTGCCTCCAGATGTGGCCAATACTTGATGTTGCTGAGAAAGGTAACCTCCTCCCCATAATGCACCTGATCCATTGTGCAATGCCAGGGAAAATCCCATCTTGGCCACTGCAATGAGCCGCTCATGCCTTGAAGCGGGTGGATTAATGATCCCTCCATTGTGAGGCATACTTATTCTTGCTGATTTAAAGCCAGCCACAGAATTTGACTCTATCACCCCCTGACCTGCCATGGGCAATTGCTCAGCGAGAACACAGCAAATGTCCACGTGTTGCAACAGAAAAGTACTAGGCAGGCTTGAATGCAGGCAACTAGCCTCTGCCCCTGCCCATGCTGCCCCTTCGCTGCTATTTTTACTGAGGTGGTCTCTGCACAAAGGTTGGCGCATTTTGATTTGGTAGCATTTGATATGTGCTATGTATAGGTGCAATGGCTGCACAAGGTGCAGAATCTGGTTCTGTGCATGGCTGGCCTTTCCCGTTTCTTATGATTCTAGCTGTCTGGAGAGAGTTGCTCCCTCCACATGACATCTAGCCCTGGCTGGATCTGAACTAATCCCCCACCAAACTAGGATTCAAGGATAACTCTGGGATAGCATCATCAGATCTGAGATGACATGCTCTGAGCTGCAAGATCACTGCTCCGTAAGGCAGAATTTAAGAGAGAGGGAATGTGAAGCAAGGGAGGTCCCCTATGTCATCTGGAAGGGGCCTCCCTTCTGAAAGACCCTGGATCAGTTTTGCAGAGTGAGTGACCTCAGCAGAGGCCAGTGTTAAGGGTCTGATGTTCTGCTCAGCTGTGAAGTACAGAGGGACAAAAAATAAAGGTTACATCGGTTAGAAAAGACCTCCAAAACAGCTGCAAGAAGAGACAGAGATAATACAGCCTGCATCTCCGCTCTACCCAGCCTCAGGGAGGCTGGGAACAAGCGTGGTTGGACTGGGGCCTGATCGGAACCCTGTAGCTATGCAGAATGATATTCACATGGAAGTAATACCATTCCAGGTTCCCTTAACTTCCACTCCACCCCAGCACTGGTGTTGCACAGGCCTGGGCAGATGAGTCAGTGGCCCCTGAGGAGTGATGCTAACAGGGAAGGGAGCCAGGCAGAATCTTTTTTGAAGCAGCTAGAACTTAATTTCCCTGTATTTTCTCTGGATCTGTGGGTTTTGGAAGCTGTGCCCCTTCCCCATTCCGGTCCTCCCACTCCTGTGTAATATCCATTGAAAGCCTGGCAACATTTAATTTCCAGACTCTCCTTGGCCTCACAGACATGGCCCCAGGACTTCTAACCCTCCCTCTGACGCTGAATTGCTCTATGAGGACTGACAAGGCCTGTCTGTGTCTCAGTTTCCCCCTCTACAAAATGTGGCGAGCGCCCTTCTACGAGAGAGGCTGGGAACTTGAATTAATTAAGCTTTACAAAGTGCTCTGAAGATGAAAACGGCTGCATAACAGCAAAGTAGTATTAATATTATCTGAAGTTACTGAGCACTCTGGTACCATGATTGAGGGGGTGTTATAAAACCTAGGTCACTAGGCAGCTAGAGAGAATTAACCTGAAAGAAAACCCTAGCCCCAATCACGCCTGAACTTTGGCACAATTCAAATCAGGGGTCTGGGTTATTCGTTGCCCTACGACCCATGCAGACATTTACACTAGTGGTGACTTTTGCAGTCTGGTCCCATCCTTCCCCTGAGGCAAATTATTTGCCCCACTCCACATTAGTTACTTCATTTACATACACACATACACACATCCCTGAAGTTCCAAGAAAAATCTCTGGGGAATAACACTTGAGTTGACCCTCCCAACAAACCTGCATTGCACCAATGACTTCAACAACAAATTTCCAACCGCCTCATATTAATTCTGTGGGGCTCGGCTTGATTTTTTTCCCTTTCTACTTCTTTTTTGAACCAACTGTGATGTATAAACAGCTATAATTATTCCCCACAGCTAAGCAACAAATACAAACTTAAGCAGTTTGCCATCCAGCCTGGACCCATGAGTGATTATTCTAAGCTGGGGCTGGCAGGAGTAAACAGAACTAGGGAGAGATCTACTCCACATACCAGAGACATGTGTTTAAAGGGTCAGGAAGGGAGCATTATTTTGGCGGAAAAGAATAAGGAGTGGAGAAAAGAAAGAAAAAAACCCAGAAGCTGGCAGCCAGCTACACTCGAGAGTTTTCTCCCCATCCCTCCTCCTGTCAACTTGTGTGTACGTTATTGATGAAAGTGGGGGCGGGGGGGGAGTGGGGTGATTTGTAACCTCAGACAATCAAGCCTGCAAACATACATGCGTGTCCCCCCACACACACACACTCTGCTCTTCCCGGCACTTCACTGGCTGCTGCGCGGGCACCGCCCACCCCAGCAGCATGATTCAACCCTGCACGAAAAAAAATCTTTATATAGCCAGTGTGAAACTGAGATTTGTAACTCGAAAGGCAACAGGTCAGCCCAGGACTAGGCGAAGATACAGGAGGGCCAGCCCAGCCTCGCCCCGTGTCTCGCCCTCGGAGATCTGCGGGAGCCGCACGCCCCTGGGGGGCAAAGGAGAGGACTGGGCGGGGGTGTGAAATTGACTAGCAAACTTTTCAAGTTTTGGGGCTGCCTGGCTGGTTTTTGATCGCTCGTCTCGGCTCAACATGAAGCCCTGGCTGGTGCTGCTGTTGGCTGTGATTTGGTGTCCTATCACTGGAGGGGAAGAGGACTCCGTTCAGGGTAAGTGATTCTCACAGGCTGCTCCAGGGGCAGCTCTTAACCATAACGCGACAACCCCGGCCAAAAACCACACCACCCGATGCTTCCCTGAAACAAACTGCCCGGAGTTAGGGAAGGGCAGGCAGCTGCGGACGAGTGTTTGCAGGTGAGCGTTGCAAACCTCGCTGGGCAGAAGTTGGGGGAGGAATCCCCCCTCCAAAATAAAACCCTTTCCCATTTTGAAGTTGAACCTTGCTATTCTGCAGAGCTAAGGTCTCAAGTGGTTCAAAGCCGGTTCTGATCTCAGATCGGACCTTGTCCCGAACGAATCCGGATCAGGATCCCCGCTTGCCACCTCCCCCGCTCAGCACCAATGCAAGGTGCCCCTTTGGTTTGTGTTTTGTTTTGGATGAACTTCCTAGAAGCGCACGCCTCGTCGGGCCATAACGCGGCCATTCATGGGGGAGCTGCTGCGGAGTGGGGTGCCCCTGACAAGCAGCAGAAGCTACCTGTGCTCCAGGCTGTCTGTCCAGAGCTCTGGCTCAGAGACTTGCAGTTCCTGCTCTGGAGAGCTGGGCTAGTCCCCAGCTGGAGCTCCAGGGAGGCTCTTAAGTGCTTTTTCAGCTCGTTTGCACTCGGAGTTTAGTAACTTTTAAAACAAATGGTCTATGGGATGGGTTGGTTGCAACTTTGGATCTGGGACATTTGCTGTTGCAAATTATGTATAATCCAGACAACTGCTTTCGGGCAGACTGTGGGAGATGCCAGACAAACACCCATCTATTTACCTGCCACATGTTTCTTACCTTTCCCCAGCTGGGCTTAGGAAGAAATTGCCTCCCTGTGTTGTAATTCAGCAGGTGTAAACCTCAGGGGAGCAATCCCCTAGGAGTGGTCACAAAAGGGTGTGTGGGGAGGGGGGGAGGATTTGTGAGCACTTTCCCCCTTCTCAGATTGCTAAATGGGTGGGGGTTTCCCAGCTAAACGGGAGGGAGATCCCAGGCCAGCATGGGGTCCCAGTACAGGAAAAGTTGAGAACTGCTATAAATCTAGCATTATGTTAGTTCACCCCTGGCCACTACTGGAGACTAGCTATTGTCATCAAGTATCAGAGGGGCGCTGTGTTAGTCTTTAAGGTGCCACCGGACTCCTCATTGTTTTTGTGGATACAGACTAACAGGTTTATTTGAGCATAAGCTTTCATGAGTAAAAGATCACAAAACAATGCATCTGAAGAAGTGCGTTTTTTACCCAGAAAAGCTTATGCCCAAATAAATCTGTTAGTCTTTAAGGTGCCACTGGACTCCTCATTGTTTTTGTAGCTATTGGTGTGTTTCACAGGGGCATTTCTTCCATGCTTGTGTTCTGTCTCACCAGGCTTGCTAAGGGCCCAATCCTCTGTGGTTTTGAGCCTCCTCAGCCCTCCCCCATAGCTTCTCTCCCTGCCCCGTTCGGTCCTGTGTGAAGACATAACGATGAAGTCCCACGATCATGATCACACTGATCTAGACTGCAGTGTCATCAGAGCTGTGATTTCATTGTGGAAGGAAGCCCTTTGTTCCGTGGGAGAACACCAGTAGCTATAGTAAAAGCAAAGAGATCACGGGCAAATATTAGCCAAGTCCCCTGCTATCTCCGTATACTGCGGCTGCTCTGTTTCATCAAGTTGGTGTTAGTATAAAAGTCACCCATTGGGGTCAGTTCCTAAGAGGTGCTGTGTACCCATAACTCCCACTGAAGTCCACAGGTGTTCTCTTCCTGTTAGGATCCATGCCTAAGGATCTGAAAAGCAAGAGAATGCATGTGCTTCCGAGGGCAGCCATAATGCTGAGTTTTATCTGTTAAAAACTAGAAATGGTTTCCAAATGCCAGCTTGAAACATTCCTGAAACACTGGGCGTTCAGAATCCAAACCTGGGAACCAACTTGAATTGAGCAGCGTCCCGTGGGTCTGAATTTCCATTGCTTCATGCAGTCATTTACCCCCAGGCCAAGGGTGTACCATCTGTTCTATCATTCTGTTCCGGTAGCATTTTACAGTCACTTTGCGCCATTGCAAATTGCTGCTGAAGATGGAAGGCAATGGAGAATCAGGTCCCTTGGCTTTATAAAGGGGCCATCCCCAAACCCCAGATCCATCTGACTCCGAACTGGAGCGTTCCAAAGCCAGGTGCAGAGGTTGCTGCTTGAGCCCCTTTCTGTTAAGAACATTAAGGTACAATAACGCTAGGCATGGGGTTTGCCTATGGAATTTTGGTAATGGGTGTCTACCGGGGAGCCTGCCTCGGAGACTCTAGCCAGCCAACAAATCCCTATCGTATGAGAACATTTTAAAGTATCCAAGTTCCCACTGTAGTTTTGCTCAGCCTCGAATTCTGCCAGGCAGTGGATTTTTGCTTCTTCCTTGCGCGATACAGCGAGGTAGATGGGAAATGTTTCTGAAGTATGGTCCCCATCACCTTAGCTACGGGATCATCTTAGTATGCTGTAAATACTAATAGATTTAATGCTTGCAGCATCCTTTGGGGGTAGGATGCCTGTTTTACAGACACTGACTTTAATGTGACTTACCCAAGGGCCACAGGGCAGATCTGGGAATTGGACCTAGATCCCAGCCTCATGCCTTTGCCACAAAACAAATCTGTGACATTGCCTGCACTGTACTGTTTCCACTGATACTCAGTGGACCTCTGAACCTGGTCTAATATGAATACAATTACTACAGTATGAGATACTGTTGCTGACTGGCAATAGGAGCACAGGCAATTCGGACCCTTGCTGAAATCAAAAGAATTGTTACAAATATCAGCCAAGATCCAGTTAAATCATGGGGATTAGGTGCAGTGCCATACGTGCAGTCCCTGGGTCAAAACCCTGGCGTCCTCAATGAGCTCTTCTTCTCCTAGAGGAAGGAGGATCCGGTGGCTATGCACTATCCTGGGACTTCGGAGACTTGGGTTCCTCCATATCTGAGCCTCTGTGCCTGAGTTGTCCCTTTGACAGCACTTTCCCCGCCTCACAGCGGTGCTGTGAGCCCAAATGCATTAACGCTTGTAAGGAGCTCAGGTACTCCAGCAGTGGGGCTATAGAAATACCATAGATGGATTCGGTCCTTGCTGAGGCACCAATCAAGGGGTGAAATCCTGGTTCCATTGAAATCAGTGGCACAACTCCTATTTCCAGCTTTTCACCTTAGGAGTCAACAGGAACTTTGCCTGAGTAGGAACCTGGGGAATTAACTCCTCCCCAGGGATTGTAAAACCAAGCTGTGAACACTCCTCCTCGTTAAAGAACCCAAGACAAGTATACAGGTGTTTGCCCTGAGGTCCAGGCCAAATTGCAGTTCAGAGAGTTGCATTCTGTCTCCCTCCAATTCTCCTCTGCAGCATGCAATTGGATATGGGACTCTAATTTGCTCTCTTTCTTCCCTGAACTGCTGTGTAGCATTGTTGGGCATTGCTAAACTGATTCTGTGCTCCTCCCTAGCTGTATTTCCGCAGTAGCTTAAGTGTTACTTGCGTATAAATTCTCCCAACCATTAAGTTTACACAGTGCTTTGGGGTTTCTTCAGGTTGAAAAGCACTAGATATTGAAGATTTCAGAGTAGCAGCTGTGTTAGTCTGTACTAGATATTGAAGGACCCTAAAGAGTGCCATCAGCATAGTACCTAGGCACTGTTAGAAATGCAAGAGGTTGTTCTATGTAGTAGCAATGAGATTAATGGATTTTTTTTTTTGTTAAAAAAAGTAATGACACAGGGTAAATGTTAGTGATAATCTTAAAACACTTGTTTTTTCTCAAAAGGCTCAGGATAACTGACCCCCTCTTCGCTTGCAAATTATTTTGTCAACTAAACTATTCTAAAATAGCCAGATTCCAGAAAACCTTGTTTGGATTATATCCAAATTTAGAAATTCTCCCCTCCACGGTAGCTGAGCACTTTAGATGATATCCGTGTGTCATCTCTCAGCCTGAGCTGAATTTAAATCCAACTGGAAGGATGACCTTGCTTCACTAAGGAGGCTCCTGGTGACGGGTTTGGCCCACTTCTAATACTTGTGCTTACATTTTTCACTAGCTTTTGGGTGTGTGTGGTGGGAATGGACATTCGTGGAACTGAGATGCCATGAGATTGGGAGGTCTTTGGGTAATTTTAATTAATTTCCTGGCTCTAACCTAATTTATTTCTAAGGTGCTGGGGGCACTTTAAATACCTATGACTAGTGGAAATGCTATAGAGAAATTAATGGGTCAAGATCGAGGTGCATCAGCTGAGCTGTGGGTGGGGAGCCCAGGACTGGAACAGCAGGAGTGGGGCAGCTGCAGGTTACAATTGAGGAGGAATGACTGAGAGCTGTGTGGGGAGACCAGCACTGGAACGGCTGGCCGAGTTGCAGCAGAGCTGTGTGGAATGCCGGGATTGGAATTGATGGAGTGGGGTCTGCTGGGGCCAGGATTGGGGAGGACTGACAGAGCTGTGTGTGAGTTGTCTAGGACTGGAACAGCTGGGCAGGCTGCAAGTCGGGAATGAGGAGGTTTGGCAGAGCCATGAGGGGGGCCAAGGCTCCCCACATTTTGCATCAGAGCTTAGTACCCAGCCAGTTATGGAGATTTCCACTTGGTGAGTTACGTTCGGGAGAAGGCAATGCAGTTTCTGCAGCAAGCAATAAGGAATCACATGGGGCTGTGGCGGTGACAAACAGGACTGAAAAGAGGTGGCAGACAAGGGCAGAGGCCCAGATCCTCAAAGGTATTTAGGTGGCTGACTCCCATGGGAGTTAGGCACCTAAATACCTTTGGGGATCTGGGCCTCAGTACCTGCCACTCCCATTTACTTTGATGGGAACTCAGCGCTTCTTGGGATCAGGCCCAGAATTATCATCTGGACTTAGAGATGGGTGAAAAATTGTGGATCCAAACACTTTCCAACTTTTTTTGGAGGGGGGAGAGCAGGAGGGGGGGAGAGCAGGGGTGAACTTGGAGTTTGCTTCAAGCCTCTTATCATGTGCTAAACTAAAAAACATGGGCCAGATCCTCAGCTGGTGTACATCATGGTAACGCCATTGAATTCAGTGCAGTGATGTGGATTTACACCGGTTGCTGGCATACTTTAAAAGCAAACACATTCCTCTCCCTATAATGCTGCAGGTACTTAAAACTGAAAGAATTTTAACAATCTGTTTGAGAGGATTTGATCCTGCAAACACTTCAGAACAAGGTCCCTGTCTTCAGGATCAGTGGGACTACTCAGGGTAGTAATTACTACACTCAGGAGTAACGGCAGGATCTAGCTTGCACTTGTTGCACTTTGTTTACCTTTTACATTGCTCTCAACTTGGACAAGGACAACAGGCTGGTCAGTTTCACTGTTTCCAGTCAGTTGCACCAGCAGAATGTTGCAATGTTTGAGTTGCAAATGCTGCAGAGGATGTTTATTTGCTTTAAAAAAAAACAAACCCATTTTTTACCAAGAGGGGACAAAGATCTGGCTCTGGCTAACGCTGTGACATGCAGAGTACATGAGTGAGGCTTGGTCTACACTACCAGCCGACGTCGGGATAACTACCTTGCTCAGGGGTGTGGAAAAGCGATGTAGCTGTATTGAGCTAACCCCTGGCGTAGACAGCACTGTGTTGACGGGAGGGCTTCTCCAGTCGACAGCTACTGCCTCTCGGGGAGGTGGAGTTCCTATGCCAATGGGACAAGCTCTTGTAGGTAGATCTGCACTAAGCGCTACAGCCCCAGCAGCGCTTTAAGTGTAGACAAACCATCAGATACTAATGTGACTTACCCCACTTTCACACTGGTATGACTCCAGAATGGATGTCGCTGGGATTTGTACCGGGTAACAGAGCAGAGTCTAGCCCAATTAATATTATTTAACAGATGAATAAGCAATTCAGGGCCAAATTCCAGGCTCATTGACAACCATGTCATCCCAATGTACAGTTCTGAAGGAGGCAGTGTTGTCTAGTGGTTAGATCAAACATTGGGACTCAGCCTTCTAGTCCTGCCTCTAGCAGGAAGTGTGGTCTGGAGGTTAGAGCGGAGGACCAGGAGTCAGGACTCCTGGGTTCTATTTCCTGCTGTGGTATGGCATTGTTATTGACCTTGGGCAAGCTTCGTAGTAGGGGTTGTCTACATGGGAAAGATATACCAGTATAAGCTAAGGTGTGAATTGAAACCAGTTATATGGTGGTTACAGTTCCTTGCATGACCACTAGGATTCATCTAGATTTGGAAGTTATTTTGAATAAAGGTGGGATGCGAAGTTAAAGTGGAATAGCCATTTCTGAATAACTCCATGTGTGGATGCTCTATTCTAGAATAAAATGTTCCTGTTTAGCTTAATTCACAAATAGATTAAGTTAAACCAGAACAAGGCACTTCTAACAAGAGTGTCCACATATGGAGTTACTCAGGAATCGTTATTCTGGAATAGCTGCATGTGGAGACAAAGATATTGAGTACCTTTTTTGAGGGGTTAGTTTATTGTGCTAAACTGAAAAAAGCCACTCATGCTGGAATAAGAATGTCCACGGGGGCATTATACCCATATAGACAACCCATTAAATCACTCCATGCCTCAATTTCCCCATCAGGGGTGTGATCCTCACTCATCCCCCAAGGGGCGCTGTGAGGATTAACTCACTAATATGTATGGGGTGCTATTTACAAAGAGCCACGTCAGTGTTCGGGGTTGAATCCTGCTCTGGTTTACACCCTTTGTGATGCATTTAACATGGGTGAGATTAAGAGCAGACTCCAAAGTCCTGGTTTGTATGCAAAGAAACATTGCTGGCAAGAGCTGTGACAGCCCCTGTCTATGACCAATGGGGGTGGGGAGGTGAGGACAGAGGGGGTATACTCCAAATGTTAGGATGCCCGGGGGTCATCTCTGTGGGGTTACCCTTGGCTGCAGCATTGTGAGGTTGGGAGAAAGGGAGTGGGGCCCAGCAGTTAGTCACACAGAATGATCAGAACTCGGTGGGTTTGCTCAGGATTAACCCTGCATGAGGCCAGGGTGGGAGAAACCCTCCTGAATGAGACAGCGGGCTCCCTCTTCCCATTGTTTCTGCTCAGACACCCCACCCGTCTAGATTAGTGACCGGGGGCGAGAAGGGGAGACTAGGAACCTTCTGTTCCTCAGTTAGTGGCCTGGTGTCCTGCACTTTTAATCAGAGAGGGCCCAGACACAGAGCCTGTTATTATCTTCTCTATAGAACAGAGAAGGCTGGGCAGCAGTGGGAAATCTTCCCTGGGAGCTTCCAATTGCCCAGGGCAAAGAGCTGCTGCAACCCAACCAAAGTCAGGTTAATTGCGGCTGGGCAATCTCAGACCAGACTCTGACCTCAGCGTGCACTGGGGTGACTCCCCAAGTAACTCCACTGATTACCGTAGAGTCACTCCAGATTTACCCCGGTATATCTGAGGGCGGAAACTGGCCCCCACATCTTTAGCCATTTAACAAACCCCAAGTTGAGCTAATGAGAAAACAAACCAACCAGCATCAGAAGCGGCTGGTTTACAAGGAAGGAAATGGCAAAGGAATCACTCACAAAAGAGAGAGGGGAAAAAAGAAACGATTTGCTCATGAGATTAAGAAACAAACAGGCTTTTGACTCAGTGAGATCAGATGCCAGTGGGTTGGCTGTGTCCCAAGGGGCTGTCTCCAGTGCCCAATGGTCAAGACATGGCTGCATACTAGAAGGATTGATCCTAAGTGCCATACCACTCATGGTCCCACACGTCTGGTCCACCTACACCTGGTAGTCTTGCTTGAATGCTCTGGGGAAGTAACAAGGGAGGGCTCGGAATCTCCAGAGCCAAATGTTCCTGAACGCTTTGAAATCTAAACCCAGATTTAAACCCATTTTTGCAAATCCACTGTTAGGAGAGAACTGCGATTGAACTGCAAGCCTCATGCTGTTCAATGCCTTTCTTAAAGCCCCAGATCCTGGATTCATGTGAATAAGAGAAAATCTCAACTTTCATTTAAAAAAAAAAAAAAAGATTCTAGCCTTTGTGGTTGCAGAGAAAAGCTTGAAAACGTGACCCGCTAGAGGCTACAATACTGGAAGGCAAATGAAAAGCATCCCGAAGTTGGTACTTTTGAAAAGTCTCATGGCTTTTAAGCCACGAATCTGATAGATTTTTGGGTCCAAACTCATGATTTTTGAATGCTTGGAGTTGACAGAACTAAAAACCTCTTTCAGTTTTGGGGTCTTTGCTGTCAGGAGCCCAGGACTATAGCTTGGGCCCCATCTGTAGAACTAGATTCAGGAGTATCCAGCCTAGGGTGACCAGCTGTCCCAATTTTTACAGGGACAGTCCCGATTTTGGGGGCTTTCTTATATAGGCACCTATTACCCTCTGCCCCTGTCCTGAATTTTCCCACTTGCCTGCTGGTCCCCCTAATCCAGCCCTACAGATGAAAATGAAGGGGTTTGGGAACTGCCAGTTCAGGTTCTTGGTGCTGTTCTCTTTAACAACGACCCTGTGTCTGTTTTCCAGAGCCTAATGCCAGAGATGGGTGAGGGTCAATCAGGTCAGCGAAGGCACGAGAAGGGGGTGAGGGGAGAGAGCCAACCTGCCTCAAACACAGCAATTTGCAGACAGTTTGCCATTTGCAAACCGACACTTTGCAGACCGTGCTACTCAGCACCCCCCCCCACCCCAATTTCCCAAGCCAGGCACAATGCGTGCACCTGCACAAATATCTGTGTGCACCTGTGCAACGCCCTGCGTTTGCATGCATATTGGGCAACGGCACATGGAAATGCAGCTGCATGGAATGCACATGCCGTAGCAGGCTGACACACATTTTGCAAATCCAGTTGTAAATATTTGTTTATTTCCTCTCTCCTACCCCACCCCTGAGGTTGAGCTCTGTTGTGTCTCTGAAGAGGGGCCATGGTCAGCTTGTGAAGTGCAAGCATCTAGAAGCACCAATAGGTGGGGGAACTAATTCTCACACATTATGCACTGTTCTAGTGGTACAGAGGCTTCGGGCTGGCTCTCTGTCTAGGGGTAGCTGTACCCAGTAAACGCAGTAGCTTCATCTTAAGGACGCAGCCTCCCAAGTGTGGTTCTCATGGTCTGCTTTCTTCTGGCAGGTGGGATCTGCTGGCTGCAGCAGGGGAAGGAAGCGAAATGCACCATGATCCTAAAGACCGGCGTGACCTGGGAGGAATGCTGCGGTAATAGCAACGTTGACGTAGCTTGGTCCAACTACACCCAGCCAGGCAATAAGATCAGCCTCTTGGGGTTCCTGGGGCTGGTGACCTGCCATCCTTGCAAAGGTAAATGTGCTTGCTGACGGCTGAAATAATGTAGCCACCCTGCTGTCCTTATGTAGGCAAAGTGTCCGAGGAAGCCTGGCCTGCCCAGAGGCTGGAGGCCTGAGCCTATTGTGTTTTATGATAAATACTGCTTAGTGTTATGGGACCATCTAGAGGCCTCAGCTGAGATCAGGGCCCCACTGTGCTGGGTGCTGTACAGACACAGTACGTCTACACTGCAAAAAACCACCCTGTGGCTGCAAGTCTCCGAGCCCGGGTTAACTGACTCAGGCTTGTGCTACAGGGCTAAAAATAGCCATGTAAATGTTCCCACTCGGGCCCTGAGACCCTCTCCCCATGCTGTATCCCAGACCCCAGGCTCCAGCCTAAGCAGGAACATCTACGCGGCTATTTTAGCCCTATAGCGTGAGCCCGAGTCAACTGACCTGGGCTCGGAGACTTGCTGCCGTGGGGTTTTTTCTGCAGTGCGGAGTTACCCACAAAGGCCTGGTCTACGCTTAAAAATTAGATCAACCCAGCTACATGGCTCAGGGCAGTGAAAACCATCACGCCTTGTGCTGTGTAGTTAGGGCGAGCTAACCCCTAGTGTAGACGTGGCTAGGTCGACGGATGAATTCTTCCATCAACCTAGCTACTGCCTCTTGGAGAGATGGATTAATTACCTGGATAGAGAAAACTTCCGTCAACATGGGACGTGTCTCTGCTTTGGCGCTTTAGTTGCAGCAATACCCAGAGTGAGACTGTCCCTGACCCAAAGATATTCACTTAAATAGAGAGAGCAGGTCAAGGATGCGAAGTGAAACAGGGGAAGTGATTTGACCAAAGTCACACGGCAGGTCCGAGGCAGAGCTAGGACAAGAGCACACGTGTCCTGAGTCTCAGGGTGTTGTCATAGCTACTAGATCTCCAGCCGTTGTCTGTTCTTGCAGCATTTCCACTGTCTTGGCCTGGTAGCTCAGGAGACAGGCCACAGCGGACCTAGACAAATGGGCCCCTTTTTGGGTTGGGGTCCGACATGGAACCAGCAGAGTTGGTTCTGAGCCAAGTCACTGCTGTGTGTGGCATGCAGTTGTTTGCACCAGTGCAAAGGGGGTGCAAACTGATCCTCCATGGAACAGGGCGGGGTTAGGACTGAAGTGTGTGACCTTGTTTCTCCCTCCTCCTGCATGTGGGGGAGGAGCAACCTGGAGGTTCCCACTGTCGTGGCCCATGATTATACGTTATATCAGGAGGTACGGGGGTTTATTCCCTGCCCTGCCATTCCCAGCCAAATCCTAGAGCAACAGGAGTAGAAGCGCTGGTCGGGGTAGCAGGGCACCTGTAGAAAGTCTGTTTTCCCTCAAGCAGCAAGATCCCCAACTAGAGGCAAGAGCCCAAGGGGGCAAAGTTGGCACCATGCCCTCAGGATTCTGGGTGGCACCGAGGACTGGAACGGCCCCTGACATCAATCAGAATAACGCCAGGCGTGCGTTGTAACAGCTGCCTATGGGTTGCCCTGCATTCCAGAGGAGCCTTGCGTGTCCATGATGTGCACTGTGGAGACTCCTCCTCCCACTACTGGCCCCGCCCCCTGCATAGGGCTTGCAAGGGGGCAGCGTAGGACAATGGACTGCTGCCCCACACTGTGCCTGCTCCAGGGGAGTTTTCCCCCCAGTCCCGTTGGAACTCAGTTCCAGCCCTGGACACCACTGCTGGGGCAGGGAGGAGCAGAGATCCGAGTGCGCTAAGTCAGCTTGCGGCGGCTCGTTCCCAGTGAAATAACAGTTTCCTCTTGCCAGATCCTCTCTTTCCAGCTGCCCGCTGCAGATTACCCCGAGGGGGGATTTTTATTTATTTATTTAAGGCTCTCCCCTTTCAACATCTCCAAATGTCTTTATAGAATGGGCTAGTTCCAAAAATGGAAACACTCCAGTTTGTGTGTTCCAAGCCATCCAGATGTTTCGGAGCGAGCCAGAGGCACGGATCCTCGCGTCACACTTGCATGGCCATGTGAGGACAGGCCAGAAGACCTGCTGACCGCAGTAGTAAGGGAGTGGGTTGGAAAGGTCACATGGTTCATTGAGTCATTTGTTTTACAAAGGCCATTAAGGGAACAGCCTTCCCCCGCCCATATGCACCCCTCTCCTGCCTGATCACAGATACTACTGCCTCCCTGCCCTTAATTCAACCTTGGAGAGGTCCCCAGAAGGGGAACAACATTACAGGTAGTGAGAGAGGCTAGAGGTAAAACTGAAACTTCCCTCCCAGTCCTTGATTCTGTATAGAGACCAGGCTCAGGTTGCAGGATTCAGACTTGAAACTTTCCCCCAATTTAAGATTCTTGGGATCAGGTCTGCTTCTGAGGTCTCGCGTTGCTCGGCTCGCCACTGAGTGGCAGGCAGTGCTGGGAGAGAACGGAGAAGGGGCCCTGATTTAATTGGTGTTGATGGAAATCTTCACCTTGAAGAATCAGTCTCCAGGTCAATGATTACTGTTCACTGCACCTCAGCCTGCACTGCAAGGCTGAGATTGGGACCCCATTGTGCAAGGCATGCTGCAGAGCAAGAACCAGCCCTTCCCCCAGAGAGCTTACAATTGACATGCACAAGGCAGGCAAGGGAAAAGATTATTCTCCCCATTTTGCAGTGGAGGAACTGAGGCAGAGAGAGATGTGAGTGCCAGGGGCTTTCGACAGCCTGGCTGCTTCTGAGCCCTTCTGAAAATCCTAAGCAACTTGCTAAAGGTCACGTGATGAATCAGTGGCCGAGCCAGAAATTAAACCCTGCTCTCCTGCGTCATGGCCTGAGGCCTTAGCCACTCATCCCATAAGCATGCTCCAGGAGGAGGTAACCAAGCTCCTTGATCTACTTGGCTTCTGCTTATGTTTAGCTCTGCTGCTATAGCCAATCACCAGTCCGCTGCACAGGGTTTATCAGAGCTTCATGACCCCAAAGATGAGAGGATCCCAGGGCAAGAGGAGGAACAAACTCCCCACACAGCAGAAACCTGCATGAATTCCAATCTGATCCTGCCCATTCCCCAGTGTGCTGGAAAGGAACCTCCCCCAGAGCTAGCCGATGAGCAGGAGTCCTTGGAAAAGGGCAGGAGGGATGATATGTATCTGTGATCCAGCTCCTGCCTCTGTGTCTCAGCCCCTAGCACAGTGTCTCCCCCTGCTCTGCAGCCAGGTCAGCTGGAGGGTGACAGAAAGCACCCCCAGGGCTCCCGAATGGAGGAGGGTGCCAGGGTTCCATGCCAGATGCAGGTTATGTTCCTCCTGGGGCATTCTGGGTCCATTTAACTGAGCCTCAGTTGGGGGTACTGCAGAGCTAACCCGGGCGAAGGGTCGGGGCTGCTGGGAATGGAGCAGTGGCAACCCCCTCCCCCCCCCCGGCTTGTGCTTTATCTGTCTAACAGCCCTCCCCACTGCAACGCCCGGTGCAGAGAGCCCTGTGTGTGCTGGAATCGCCTAGCCCGGCTCACTGAAGGGCGTGGCCTGTTTGGATCATGGACCACGCCAGGCGAGTTCAGCCGAGGCTCGTGCATGTGAAAGAGCTGCTTTCCTCAGGAGCTAGCCCCACATAGTTCATTTACTCAGCCCTGGCAGATCTAGGGACTCTGACTCACAAGACGGGCCCTGTTCCAGGCAATGGCTACTTAGATATGGAGCTCTGGGTGCGAACAGGAAAAGCAGCTGGTCCCCTGCCGGGGGATTTCCCCTCTGCAAAATAGGGGCAAACTCCTGGGGGAATTCCACCTTCCTCCCTATGTGATCTTCCAGGGAAACTGCACCACACCACGTCCCATGGTCAATCCGTTCCCCTTATTGGATGGGGTCACATCCTCCTCCCCACCGTTTCCTGTGGTAACCTTCCCTATGCCCCCACCTCAGTGAAGGAATGACTCCACAGGGGAAGGATTCTCTAGGTCCAAAGACTTGCATAATGACAAGTTTCAGAGTAGCAGCCGTGTTAGTCTGTATTCGCAAAAAGAAAAGGAGCATTTGTGGCACCTTAGAGACTAACAAATTTATTTGAGCATAAGCTTTTGGGAGCTGCAACTCATGAAAGCTTATGCTCAAATAAATTTGTTAGTCTCTAAGGTGCCACAAATACACCTTTTCTTCTACGTCCAAAGAGACACATTTCCAATAATACCCTGGTGGCTGTCCGTGTTCCCCTGATCCAAACGGGGCAGTAAAAGTGACCCCGCAGCCAGCAGGCTAGAGAAGATAATGGGGAAGGGAGCAGTCCTGCAAAGCAGGGGCAATGGGTCTGAGTCACACTTGTGGAAACATGGTGTAAACGCTCCCACTGGGGCAGCCTGATTCTTCTCCCACCCACCCCCTCGGCCACACACCTCCAATCTCTGGAGACATGATAACTAGCCACTTGTAGGAGCCAATGTCACCGCCCCCTGGCTAGCGCTGCACACTTCCCAAATGTCTCCCGTGTTTGGGGGAAATTCCGCAGCTTGCCACACACGCACATGAGTTCAACGGCTCCGCTGAACCCGCGCAGACTGTTTTTGCTAGGAGGCGACCCAGTGCGACAATGCAGCCATCTGTTTCTTCCTCCCCTGCCTGTGGGGAAAGAGGCGTCCCAGACAGATTTCCCCCCTCGCCGTTGCCCATTCTCGTTTTCAAGTCACGGAGGCCTGGAGTGAAACAGGGCTGGGTATTGTTTGGGAAAGAGAACTTGTTGATCACACAGACGCTTGCACCGGCTGGGTGTTCTGGAGGGTGTAGTGCACAACAGAGCAGGGTTCTCTGTTGCACGAGAGAAAGAAATGTCTCTTAAAAAAAAAAACCAACTGGCAGTTGAAAATAGGGGCCAGCCCCTCAACTGCTGTAAACCGGTATGACTTTGCTGATGAATGGAGCAACTTTTCCAGCTGCAGATCTGCTCCGTTATTAGGGTTGCTAGGTGTCCGGGTTTTGACCAGAACGCCTAGTTGAAAAGGGACCATGGCGGCTCCGGTCAGCACTGTTGACCGGGCCATTAAAAGTCTGATCGGTGGGGCTAAGGCAGGTGCCCTGCCTGCCGTAGCTCTCCGCAGCTCCCGGAAGCAGCAGCATGTCCCCCTTCTGGCTCCTACGCATAGAGGCAGCCAGGGGGCTCTGCACGCTGCCGCCGCCCCAAGTACCAGCCATGCAGCTTCCAATGGCCGGGAACCAGACCGTTATGGGGCTGGGTGGCTCAGGACTTTGTCTCATTACCCTGTAGTTACACAGGTACTAGCAGGATTGAGCTAATGCAGGGTAACGCCTGGGCTACCGGGCATGATCTGAAACTCAACGATCAATCAAGGAAGTTCTGCATCCAGCTGCAGGGCAAGTTGCATTCAAGCTGGACGGAACAACTCCTTGTCTAGACAAAGCCCAGGGAGCTCTCCACATCCAATCCCCCAGGGATAACCCCAGCAAGAACTGGTAGCTGTTACCATCTGTTTGTGTAATGAGTTGGGCAGGTCTGGGGGCCGGGGGTGGTTCCTAGGAGATGGGCACGCACGTCCCAAAAGCCAGCATGGCGGTGAGCACTCTCAGTGGTGGCCCCAGCAGAGTCCAAGGACTGAACAGGCCATGGGGCTGTATCCTCTCTCTCCCCGAGTCTGTGGCCAAGCTGGGGGCTGTTAAGAGCAGCTGGCATATAAAGAGCAGCATTCAAGAAGCCTTTGACAGGGCTCAACAAGAGGCATCTCTGGTCCGATTGAACCCAGGACCAATATTGCATTGTCTTGAGCACCCCCTACTGGCAACATCACTGGACCCGCTATTAAGATATGCGCAGCCACCTCTCCTTGATAGAGCACTCTCATAAGAGGAGGTGCTGTGGGGAAGCTTGGGCTGCTTCCTCCTGTCCTGTGATAAAGAAAGGATTTCAGTCCCTGTGGGCGTTAGGGGGTTAATTCATCCGTGCCTCACACCAGCGGGGCTGGTGAGCAAGATTTGAACCACAACTGGTTCTTGGCATGCTCCTGTGTCTCTGTGTCCCCTGGCAGCCTTTGATCTCTCTGCAGAGGGAAAGGACGCGCCCCTGGTGCAAAACGAGTGGAGGCTCCCTGGTGCTAACTCCTCTTTCCTTTACCCCCAGAGACCTGTGAGGGGGTGGAGTGTGGCCCTGGCAAAGTCTGCAAGATGAAACACGGCCGTCCCCACTGCGCCTGCGCCCCAGATTGCTCCAGCCTGCCCAGGAAGCTGCAAGTGTGCGGCTCGGATGGCTACACTTACCGCGACGAGTGCGAGCTGCTGACAGCTAAGTGCAGAGACCACCCCGACCTGGAAGTGATGTACCAGGGCAAATGCAAAAGTACGTCAGGGGCTCCCCCCTTGCTCTTTCCGCTTCCTGGCCCTCTCCCTGCACGTGACGGGCTGGGCCTAATAACAGCCTGAGTGGAACTGTCCTAAAAATCCCCAAAGCGAGTGTATTTCGAGTTCCCTTGGTAACTGGAGGAAATGGTGCTCAGTAATTTCAGATTGTCCTTGCTTCTCCGGTGCTGTCAAGCTGGCTGTCCTCACGGTTCACCCTTTCCACCAAAGCAGCTGATCCGCACTGAGGGCAGCGTCCCCAGTAGCTGGCACTTGCAGCCCTAGCCCATTCAAGGCTTAGTACAGGCATCCCCCCACGCCCCAGGTCTGGCATCTTTGAGGCAGAGTTATAGACTCCTGCCCCTTGGAGGTGACTTTGCAGCGATTTCCCTACTGAGCTACCTGGCGTATCCCTCTGGCACGGGAGATTTCTATACTGGGCAAGGAGCCTAGGGCCGTTCCCCTGACGGGCCCGCTGTGCTGCCTGCAGCAGAAATGGGAATTCACTGTGGAAGAGCAGGGTCCTATTTAGAGTCAACTGTTAGTGGGGGGAAACCCATGAACCCCAATGGAGCCGCATGCATTTACGCCTGGTCAGAATCAGCAAGGCAAGAGTGGAGCTGGGAGGAAAGCTCTGGACTGCAGCGTGTAGTTCAGTGGCACATGGGCTGGCAGGCCGGAGCTGGGTTTGACCTACAGGCCCTCCCCCCGCCTTCTTGCCTCTGAGCCTGAAGCTTTAGGGTTCGAGAAATCCCCCTGCCATGACTCATGCTCCAAGCCAAGGCCCGAAGGGGGGTTGCCCTGTTTGAGGCATGGTCTTCCAGCTGGGCTGTTAAGTTGAGGCCTCTCCTGACTATGCTCCAGGGCCATCAAGAGAGAGGTTAATCCATCCCTGAGGATCCCCGAACCCTTTCCAATCTGGAGACATGTGAATCCCTTCGGCCACGCCCAGGCTGAGACGTGGCAGCGGGTTCCAAGGCTGAGCAGGCTCCACTCAGCAGATCCCTGCTGCTCCATTTGGAACGGGGAGGGGATCATCCCTGCGCCCCGGCCAGCGTTCACTTTCCATAGCCCAGCTTCCAACGCCAAGGGCTGCGGTGGGAGCACAGGCTCCTGTCTCCTGCAGGGCCTCTGACCTATCCAGCCAATCACTCTAGGGGTGCTCTGGGGGTCTAGGGGCAGAGCTGGGCCAGAGGGTGGAGTTCAAATCTGGGCTTCTCTAAGGGCTAGGGTGACCAGGCAGCAAGAGTGAAAACCGGGACGGGGGTGGGGGGTAATAGACGGCTACATAAGACAAAGCCCCAAATATCGGGACCATCCCTATAAAACTGGGACATCTGGTCACCCTACTAAGGGCCAAGGCGGGGCCGATCTATTATCTGGTTCAGGTCTAGCTCCAGTTTTACTGTACGTCTTTTCATGGGTTATTTTAACATCACAGGGTGCCCGCATGAGAGATCGGCCTTTCTCCCGGCTGTTTCTGTCCCCAGGTGGTAGAAATGCCATGTGGAGAGCAGATGTTGCATTATTTCATCCTCCTAAATAACAATAGCAAGCTCCTATCTAGCACTTTTCTCTAGTAGAGCTTAAGGCTCTTTACAAAGGAGGCCAGTGGCATGATAACCCATGGGGCAACTGAGGCACAGGGCAGTGAAGTGACTTGCCCAAGGTCACCCAGCACGTCATTGGCAGAATAGAACCAAGAAATCCTGAATCCCAGTCCAGTGCTGTATTCCCTTGGCAACACTGTCTCCCATGTCCCCCTGAGGCTAGAGCCTTTCAGCCGTTCTCCCACTATTGGTCTAGCCCCAGTGCAGCACCAGGGGTGCTAGCCCTGAGCAGGATGAGACACCTCACTGTAAAACCCCCAGCACCAGGTCCGCAGTAGTGATCCTGCTTTGGTTGCTTGCCTGGGCAGAGCTGCATGGGTGCCAGGATTTAGGGAAGCCCCATGATCATAACGTGCAGCACTGCCTGGGACCTGAGCCAGAGAGAACCAGGGGGTCTGCATGTGTCCAGCAGCTGGGATAAATGTAGCAAATTATGAGTAAGAACCAGAATCTTCTAATACTGAATAGCCCGATTCTGCCACTCTCATTGCCTAGCAAGTCCCCAGGGGGGTTCCTTGCCTAGCAAGGTACCACTCAGCATGGGTACAGGTGGCAGCATCAAATCTTTGAGCTTTTGATGAAGAACCTGTTGAAACTCAGTCCCTGATTCTGATCTTGTTTACACTGGTATAATTCCACTGGCTTCCATGGGTTTTCCTCTGATGTACATTGGTGTAAGTGAGATGAGGATTTAGGCCCCTGTGTTTATCTCACCCTGCTGCATCTAAGAGTTGTAGGGAGACTCTGTCTCCACTGCATTGTAAACCGGGATCTGGGGGACCCGGATTTGTGGACTTGGTGTTTCTAAGTCTGCGTCTGAGTGTTCCACTGCATTGTAAACCTGGGTTTACATTTGCTGGACCAGAGGCTCACAGCCGTGCTAATGCGACCATACTGCACTGCGCAACTTGTGCTGTGTCCACACTGAAAATGGCAGGGATTGGACCTGAGTCGCAGTGGGACTTAGGAAGTTGGGTCGGAGCCCACCAGAGTCCGAGGATCCAGGCCCTGAGTGCTTGCTGACCCGAGTCAGATTGATTTGTGTGTGGACGGAAGTGGGGCTTGGGTTCAAACCTGGGTCAGAGCCTGGGTTTAGTATGCAGTGTAGACACACCCTCCTCATGTACCAGAGGGCAGATTCTCAGCTGCTGCAAACTGTCATAAACAGAACAATGACCATTTACACCAGCTGTGGGTGTGGCCCCCAAGGTACTAAGCTGACTAGGTTCAACGGAAGCTGAGGCGTTACGGTGATAAAGAATAAAAATAACATCTTCCATTTAGATACCCTGAACCATCCCAAAAGAATTTGCAACCTGATCTACTGCGTGGGGGTTACTTTATCCCTCGCTGAAATGCAGCCACCTCTGGTTGATAAGTGGCAGATGTTTAACCGTGGACAGCAACGTATATCCTCACATTTGCTCCAAATGGCCCATTGGTATAGGGACTGTGACTCTAAAGGCTCGATTCTCCATTCCCCTGCACCTTTTGCAATCACACCCGCATGAAGCAGGTATAAAATGCTGCCCTTTTCCTTCATAAGGGATCCTCTTTCGGAAATGACTGCACAAGGGACAGGGTGACGGGCCCAGCCCCAAAGTCTCATGGCGTAATGGGATTTTTAAGCCTGCATAAAGCCCTATGTACTCTCTGAAATACGATGCACAGTATTGAAGGCGCTGTATATTCTACACTGGAATAGCATCTTCTGCTGCGTAAACAGCTCTGGATTTAATGGGGGGTTTACATACATCACCGTCTAAAGAACAGCAGCCCATAACATGTCACTTAGACGCATCGAGCTATTGTTTTTAAAAAAAGCAGACCAGAAAAACATCCCAAACCTGCCAAGGTCTGGCAGCTTTATTATTTTTGCCAGCCCCCTCTCTGAAATTCCTTCCTGTCGAAATCATCTTAAAAGCCAAATCTGGGGAGTTGGGAGCTGGGATGCCGAGTCACTGCCTGATCCAGCTTCAAAAAGAGCTGAAGTTTTAAACCCCTGTGAAAGAGTGTTTATAATATACAGTAAGTGATGACGCACGCTTGCCATGGAATGCCCCTGTCTGCTGGCGTGTGTGAGCGTTTGTGTGTACACAGCAGAGATGGGACGCAGGCGGGTTGTCAGAGCAGAAATCAGCTGTTGCTCCATGTGTTCTGGCTAGCTTGGCGTGCGGGTTAGCACTCTTGTGACTGCTCAGGGCATTGAGAACCCAGCAATTTGCCAGTTCCGTTTGGCTTTGGCTGGGCAGTGCCTAGGGATGGTAAAGCCACTATTTGCTTCTTATTTTAATTTGCAGTGAATTGTAGTACCCAGGTCAAGGGACCCTGGCATTAGGTATCGTGCAGACAGCTCTGCCAATGCACCTCTATTCTGACTTCCAGCACCTTTGCTGGTCTAAACCGGGGCCCCAGTGTTGCTCTGCTCTGCTGTTGCACCTAAATTCTGGCCTGCATATCCCTCTGCCCTCTTCTGAGCATAGACCATCAGTCGGGCAATGGTGAGGGACCAAACGAAGGGTCCCCGGTTTACATCAGCTGAGGTTTGGTCAAGTGTGCAAGTGTCATGCCGGGGGCAGATGAGACCATGAGATTCATTGCACATATGATCCGATTTGCTCCTGTACCCAGATCTACAGAGGTGCAAACAAGTAGCCATCAGATGCACAGCACCATCTAAAACCACATAGACTTCTTCCTTCTGCTGGCGAAGAGAAGCAAGTGTTTGACAGTAGCCAGATATCTGGATTTGTGCTGAATAAAAGAGGGGAAGCACATTTTCCCAGGGAAACTTGTTGCTAAATCCTGCTCCCAGGTACCTCAGTGTAGAGCTGGGGAAACCTCACTGAGACCAGTGTGGGGTTATTTTGGAGTTAATCTGGTGAAACTGAGAGCAGTATTTGGTCCACAAAGATCCTTTGAATGCTCCCCCTGTAGAAAAGCAGCTCTAGAACTTCCTGTTGATGGAGCTTGAACCATGCATGCACATGCTCCGACCAAGTGGCTGAGCTCACTCTCTGGCTTGCGACTGCTTCCCTTAGAGTCCTGCTCCAGCGTGGTGTGCCCCGGGACTCACACCTGCGTTGTGGACCAGACGGGCAGCGCTCACTGTGTGATGTGCAGGACGGCCCCCTGCCCTGATCCCTCCACCCTGGACCACACTCTCTGCGGCAACAACAACATCACCTACCCATCCGCCTGCCATCTACGGCGGGCAACCTGCTTCTTGGGCAAATCTATTGGAGTCCGTCACTACGGAAGCTGCTTAGGTATGTTTCACTTCTTGACCTGGAGAACATTCACATGGGTCCAGTGGATGGGGGCATGATTCAGAGTTGGCTGGTAGGTCCTTCCACACAATCAGACCTTCCATAAAACCAGACCTTGCAGGAAACACTTGTAGGGGGCTCTTGAGAGTGGATAGCGATTTCCCTAGCCTGATGGCTCTTTCCTGTCAGTCCCGTGCCCTCTAATTTTAGTGCCTCCATTTGCAAGAGTCCAATTTCTGCTTCTGACTGTTACTGTTCCGCTTAAAGAGATGGGACCTGATTTTCAACGTTACCGGGCTTTCACTACTCTGGCTGAGGTCAATGGGGGCAGCCTGAGCTCAACTCTTGTGGAAATTCAGGCCCTACTATTTTCAAGGGAGCTCGGCTCCCAGTTAGGCCTTGGGGAAAAAGGGGCTGGATTCTCAGATGGGCTCCAGGCGTTGGGTGCTGGGCATTAGGGAAAATCTGTTCCTTGTTTTGGTGTCTGAAAGGGGAGGCGAGCTCTTCTGAAAATCTGGCCCATTTTGTGGATGGTGAGTGCTTGGGAGTCTGACCTGTGGTGGACTGGAAGTGGAACCCCCAGATTCAGGCACCCCAAATTATCTGGGCTACTTTAGATGATGTGGTCGCACTGAAAACAACTTGCTCAAGGTCACCCACTGAGCCTGGAGGAGAGCTGGGAATAGATCCCAGATTCTTGGCTTCCCTTGATCCAGAGACCGGCCCGCTGGGGACTGGTCTGAGAACTGTTCCAAGAGCGAGGGATGGCTTTTGGCCGCTCTTGTGATGGGCCGCATTACACCGGCGACCTAGAGATGAAAGTCTCCATGGCCCAGGCCAAGTCCCCTGAGCCCTCCAGACTGGTGTTTAATATTTCCCTGCAGCTCATTTTCTCTATGGCTCCATTTACAGCTCTGGCCAAGTTCCCCCTCGATGTGGGCGATGCCGAAGAAAACTATGTGTGAACCATTCCTTCTCTGCCAAGAGACCGAACCCAGGAGACAGGGGCATTATGTGTATATTGTACAAACCATATACCTGATATTTATTAAGATAAAAGATCCTTATTTATATCTGTTTATGTTATGCAGACGCATAGGGCCCGATTCTCATTACTCCGTTCCTGCATCTGGGGCACGGGAGGGTGATTAGGGTGGCTTTAAACCACCTTTCTGCTCCTCATTGTCCAGGGTGGATCAGAGCTGGTGTAAGTTAGAGCAGCCTCTGGGATGCTCTAACTTATGCTCCACGCCCCATGGGAAGCAGTGAATAGCTGTAGCACAGGGCACTCCAACCATGTCTTCAGTCTGCCCTCTGTTCTGTGGGCTGGGAGCAGGACCATTGTACAATCTTTACACCAGCTCTACACTGGCTGGGGAGGCCCCCATGTGTAGGATGATTCTCTGGGGGCCATTTCCACCTTTCTTAAGGCCGCTTTATGCTGCCAGAGGGCCTTAGTGTCCCTGAGAATTGGGCCCACACTGTATACTAGCCCCAAGATAGCACTCCCGGGCGTATTTATTTTTTTGTTTTAATTCTTGGTGCCTCCATTTGCAGAAGTTCCTGGACCTGTCCAGCGGGAATCTGAGGTTGAGCCTTCCCTTGAGGGACTTTCTGTCCTAGGGGTTCAGCTGTGGGGATGGACAGCTCCCGACGGCAGGAAACTCAGTTCAAAGCTGTGGTTGTTGCATCTTTTGTTTTCCTAATCTTGTCCAATCCAGGTTCCCGTGTAATAAGCAACGTCAGTGAGGATGCAAAGGTAATACAACCTCGCACACTACCCTTGAGGGCGGGTTTTACACAATGGACAAGACTGGGCAAACCTTTGCCCTTATAATGCCATGCCCCTGGGTGGGTCATTGGCAGCAGGGATAGAACCTGAGACCTCTGGAGCTAAAAGCATCAGCTCTGTTAGCCAGTGCTGTGGCAGGCTTATTGACTTCTAGCTGCAGACTGCTCACCACTAGACAGGGACAGTGTGCCACATGAGTGGGTTACACCAGCCCAGATCATTGCAACTGTAAAGGGCTCCAGATACCAAGTTTGGATTCAAAGCCAAATTTACCCAGAATTCAGTGGTGTTGGTCTCTGGGGTCTTAGTTCAGGCCCATCTCGGTAATGACTCTGGGCTTCATTTTTCATTGGCCTGCACCTTTGCGGAGCCATTGATGCTGGTGCAAAGCAAGTATGCATGGTAGCACTTTGCACTCGTTCGGAGGCTGTGCAAAGGGCAAGATATCTGAGACTAGTGCCCCAAGGGGATGTGAGTTAAAGAGACTGGCAGGCAGCTTAGTTCCCAACTCTGACCTCTCCTAACATCATTACAAACCTGATCTCACCCACATCAGCTTTGCCCCAGCTTTAAGAGAGTTACTTTAATTGACACCAGTGTAAGTCAGAGGAGAACCCGGCCCAGTGCCTTTTGGGTTTTAAATATCATTCTGGGGTTTTCAAATCAGTCCCTCGATAGTTAAACCCCTGGTCGTCATCAGTCCCACGCTGAAAGGCCACTGCTAGCTACGGAACATGCTGCAGGTTGACTGCAAACTCTGTTTCCAGACTGGCCCCCTTCCCCCGGCTGCTGACACTGGTCACCAGTCTGGGACCCAAACAGGGGAGGAATCCCAAAGAGAGTCACTCACTGGACAGCAGGGAGGGCAGTCAGGAAGAGAGGTGATGAGTGCTTGGCAAACAGGGAAGCATTGTGAGATGAAGGTTGGCTGCGTGGTCAAGCCCTGAGGCTCAGGAGATCTGCTTTAATTCTCAGCCCTGCTACCGCTTCTGTATGTGATTTTGGGGACCCTGTGCCTCAGTTCCCCACCTGTAAAAATGGGAGTGGGAGTTCTTCTTCTGTTGTCTGTCTAGTCTAGTTAGCATCTCCTCCAAACTCCTGCCGCTCTCTCTCTCCCTATGTGTATTAACAGAGCCCTGCCCACAGAAGTCCTGATGGCAGCAGGAGTCTCTAGTTGCTATTACATTGCATTGGCCTGTGGTGTCCTGGAGGCGGTGCCTGGCTCCTTTGTGACCCACCCAAGCTGCCCCCTCTCCAGCAGGTTGGTTTCTTGAACCTTGTTACATTATAGCTGTCCCTTATCAAACACATCACAAGAACCTCATGGACACATTCAAAAAGGGGGCAGGGCAGCTGCTCTGTCCCCCTCTGGAGCCTCAGCTCAGCTTCCTCTGATCGCATCCCCGGTATTTATTTTTCACATCCCCTGCAACATCGTGTGTGTTGTGACCTGTGTAAATAGCGTATCATCTCCAACAACCACGTGGCTCAGAAACTATTGCCTTTATATTATTATATATATTAAAAAATCCCCTCTCTTCTATTTTTGTATGGTTGTGTCCCAATCCTTTATGTATGCCATGTAACATGTAAGTTTCCTATTCCATATTGTGTGGGGGCATTTTACTGCTATGTTACATTTTGGGTTATAATTAAAAGGAATAAAACTAGTTCCACGTCGTTGTTTTCTTCTAGTAATTTCTAAAGTGGAGGCCGTGCCCAGATTCATAGAGCTGAAAGCCAGAAGGGGCCAGTCTGATGAACTAGTCTGACTTCCTGCATACCACAGGGCAGAGAATTGCAACCAGGGATTCCTGCAGCAAGACACAGTAATTTGTGGTCAAGCTAGAGTATGTCTTTAGGAAAGAGACATTTAATTTGATTGAAAGATGGCGAATGCTCAACAATTCCAGTGGATCTTTTTTTCCAGTCTGAATGACAGCCCTGGAGACAAGAGTCTTCTGTCATCAGGTGCATCCTGGGTAGGAACTGCACCAACTTCCCCAGCGTTGTATCTCAGCCCTGACCTTGGCCTCTCCACTGAGATTGACAGCAACGGGGAGCAGTTAGTAGCAATGGAGGTGGTGTTTTTATGGTCTCTTGTCCCAGATGGGGGATTGATTGAGACCTCCCAAACTCATTTCACATAGGCTGCCAAACAGCCATCATGTGGTAAAGCCATCTGGGCATCACTGACCAGAGCTGTATCCGGCCCTACGGGCCAATTTACACCAGCACGTAACACTAAATGGAGCTTCTCCACTGTAACGGAGACCACTGAAATCAGGGGAAGCCTTTCTATGGCCCTCATTACCATAGTATCAGTCTTTAATGTATTTAGCCTCACAACACTGCTGGGAGGTGGGGCAGTGCTGTTAGCCCCATTTTACAGATCAGAAACTGAGGCATGGAACAACTGGGTGACTAGCCCAAGGGCAGGCAGGGCGTCTGTAGCAGAACGGGGAATTGGATCCATGGCTGTATAGTCCCAGGCTAGCACCCTAACCACTGGACTATCCTTCCTCCCTGTTAATCTCAATAGGCTTTGAATCAGACCCTGGAGAGGAAATGTTTCAGACTCCATTCCCAATCCACGGTCAATCCAGTCCACTTGTCTTTGTTAGCAGACAGCTTGTTAAAGTTGGTAGTGAATCAGGGCATTTTGGAGGAGTCCTTAAGGAAGTGATCTTCAGGTGAGATCACTGCAGATACTCAAGGGCAGGTAGCGTAACCCGTTCAGGGAAATTACACAGGGGTTAATCATGCAAAATGCCTTTGATCAGACTGGGTGAGCCCGTCAGTCCTTTCTCCACCTACTGCCCCGGGTCATATTTGAAGGTGGCTATTGGTACATCCCATTGTCGAGGCAGTATGGACTTGTAGACTGGGCACTGGCCTGGGTGCCAGGCCTCGGTTCTGTTCCTGGCTCCGCCAGTGACCTGGTGTGTGACCTTGGGCAAGTCACTTCCTCTTGGTTTCCTTCCCCATAAGACAGGGATAATGAGACTTGCCCAACTTTGTACAGCTCTTTGAGATCTCCAGTGTGATAGCACACTCCAGTGGCCCCTTGAACAGCACGCAACTTCCCACTGTGCAGCTCAAATGCCCTTAATGCAATTGTATACATTCAAGCCATATTGCTGCAAAGTTGGACCAGAGTCACTTTAGTTCCGCCCCAAAATGGCTGGGGAATATCACCGCATTCATGATCTTTGAGCTGGTCTCTGGACCTGGGGGTGGCACGTTTACTTCGTCCATGGACACATTGGATCCTGTCTCTGTTTTTCTCTCATGCCCCTTGCTGAATTCAGTGAGATTGAGAGAAGGGTATGGGGCCAGATCCCGGGGTCACTTACAAGTGAGGATACTTTGAAGAAAGAATAACTGAGCTGCATGAAGTTGTTTCTCAGTTTCTACTTTTTACTGAGAAACTTCTGCTCCCATAGCTGAGATTGGAGCACAGATTAGCTTAAAACAACAACAGCACACAGCACTGGCTAAAAGAGCAGGACAGAAAAGCAAATTCCTGGAGGCTTTGCACAGGCATCAGTCTGGCTGGTGCAGACTGAGCCAGAGGGTGTGTTTGAGTGTGTGTGAGTGCTTGTCCCTGTGTGTGAGTGTACACAAGTCTCTGCAAGTGTATGTGTGTCCATGAGAGAGTGTGTGTGTACAATGTGTGTACAAAGTATCTGAGTCTGTGATTATGCATTTGTGGGTCTTTGGGGCCACACGAGTCTCTATTAAGCGCATGGGTGCTTGCCTGTGTTAGCATGTGCCTGTTTGTACATATGTGTGAGCAGACCCATGGCAGTCAGGCCACGCCCACAGCTCTGGGCAGGTGCATGGGAGCCCTGTCTCTAAGGTTGCTTGGCACAAAGCATTTATAGTAGTCGAGATGATCAGCTACATAGATAGAGCCAGATTTAATTCCAGCATTAACCAAGCCTCTGGTTTTGCACCCCCAAAATGCATGCAGGTGCAACCAGCTGCTTCCGCCAAACATGCCCTTGCAAATAACTGGGGGTGCAAAACTGCACCAGAAAACTCTGTTTGTAAAGAGGAGCCGGTGTTTGAAAGCCTGGCCCACACGGTCGCGAGGCAAAGGCAGGACAGACTGGTAAACCTCTTCTTCACATGGGCGAGCAATGACCTCTCTGACTGGTGCTTTTCCTTACTATTGTTTGGAATACAATAGCGCTGACTGAGATCCCTGAATGAGACATCGTTCAGGCCCCAAAGAGCAACTTGCCCAACCTCATACAGCAGGGCTGTGGGTGAGCGGATGCCAATGCCAGCTCCCTATCCACTAAGCAACACGGCTTCCCACATGAGCAGATGTTTACCACGGTGAGTAAAGGATTTACAGACAGATTAGCTTGATCAGCGGAGTGCCTGGGACATTGGTCTTCCGGGGTAGAACAGTGCCCCTTGTTACTTTAAAGGAGCTTTCTTCCTTAAGTGAACACACATCCCGACTTGGAATCTGGCCACCCAGATTTCTCTTATGAATAGGGCTAACAACATCAACACTGCCCCTGCTGCAGACATATCATCATGTGCCCTAGCCGGCCCCGGTGGGCTTGGAGGGGCCCCTCGGGGCTAGCAGGTGAAGAATGCACTGTGCACGGTTGTGACTGGAACGAGCCAAGCCCACGGCAAGCATCTGTTTCGACTTTGTGTTGGGTTTCTTCCAGCCTGGCCAAGTCTCCTCTCTATGCAGAAGAAAGAAAGAAAAAAACTCCCTCAAATATGTTCCTAATATCAGCATGTGCCATAAAGGTTTGGTATTTCACAACACAACTCCGGCAATTGAGACCCGATGTGTGACTCCTCCGACACCCCCACACAACCTCATCCTTTGCGAAATCGCAGGAGCCGCAGTCTAAGACCGGCTGCGGCGATGGCTGGGGATCTTCACCACAGTCGCTGTGTGTATGTTTGGGGTAGGGGGAACACACGAGTCTACTCAAAGAGTTTGCTCTCAAGGGGTCATAACTGACTGCAGTGCAGAGACCTAGCACAAGACCTAGGCACAGAGCAGACCTAGCACAGGCCCCGCCCACTGGGCCTCACAGAACTAGTACGCGCCCCTCCCCCTGGGCCTCACGGACCTAGCACAGGCCCCGCCCCCTGGGCCTCACGGACCTAGCACAGGCCCCGCCCCCTGGGCCTCACAGACCTAGCAGAGGCCCCGCCCCCTGGGCCTCACGGACCTAGCACAGGCCCCGCCCCCTGGGCCTCACGGACCTAGCACGTGGCCTAGGCACCAGCCATCAGCACCAGTTAAGTCCTACTTTAGCCCTATGGGTGGATGTGGGACCTTAGTAGCGCCCAACTCCCACCATGGTTTGCCACTGGCGGGATTTCAGCGGAGCTGGTGTCACTCCCAGCCTCATGCAAATTTGAGCCCCGCTGAGTGGGGGGGGGAAGGAAGGGGGAAAAGCCCCCTTCTTATTGGCCGTCTGCCTCTCTGCCCGCCTCCTCCAGGGGCAGAGCAACCAATCAGAGCTCTATCTCCCTGTCCTGCCCCCTCCCCTCCTGTGAGCACCGCGTGGGCTCCTCTCCCTGTCCCTGTCCCTGGAGCTGTCCCCCCTGGCTTGGGAGGGGTGAAGAACCGCAGGGGGCATGGAGGTGAGGTGCTGAAATGGGGGCTGGGGAGCTGCTGCGGCAGAACTGGTGGGGGCTGGGTGGGGGTGGGGCAGAAGTGGGGTGAGGTGGGGGTGGAGGAGCTGGGGGGCAAAACTGGTGGGGACTGGGTGGGGTGAGGACAGAACTGGAGTGAGATGGGGGCTGGGTGGGGGTGGGGGTGGAGGAGCTGGGGGCAGAACTGGTGGGGGCTGGGTGAGGTGGGGGCTGGACTGGTGGAAGGTGAGGGCAGAACTGATGGGCGTCTGGGGGGCAGAACTGATTTGGAGACGAGGGGCACAGGGTTGATTTGATCGTTGGGGGACAGAATTCATTGCCGGGGGGTGAAAACTCCTGCAGCAGGGGCCAAAATCCTCCTACCCAATATGACTGGGAGCATGGGCAGCATTAACACACTTTCTGTCTCAGTCTGGGCAGGGGCAGTTCACCAATTGTTGGGCAGACTGAAAACCCCCCACATAATCTCTTTGTAAATAGACACATGTTTTGGGGGCCAATTTCCTGATTTGTTGGCATCCAACTCATTTATTTTTTGATCTCTTGAGGCTGGCAGTACCCTGTGTGGGACTGAAAGGGGGATCACGCCTTCTGCTGGGCTCTCTAAACAGAGGTGAATTTCAGATTTCTCCATTCCTAACTCAAACCTGTCCAGGTCCCATGTTCCGCCTTTGCTTATTGACGTTGGGTCAGATTGTGCTCCCCACTGAGCATAGACATGAGATGCCACCGAACTGCTAGGGTTTGGGAAGGTCAGGAGGCCAAGTAGAGGGTATCCACAATCTGCAGCCACGCTCTGTGTCAGCATGAAGAGGGTGGGGGATGAGGAGGGGGCTGATGGCTCCAGGAATATGTTGACCTGATGGGTCCATACCCAGCTGTAGAGCCCAAAGGCTGCTGCAGTAGTAGCCGTAGTACCCTGCCTCTGTCTGGCTAAGTATTTATGAGGGTCCTCTCAGTGAGGTATCTGAGTGCGGACACAACTTTCCCGCTTTGTCTGAAGGCTGTCGCAGAGAGATGGGTCATATATCTCACGG